TTTTTTTTTTTTTTTTTTTTTTTTTTTTTTTTTTTTTTTTTTTTTTTTTTTTTTTTTTTTTTTTTTTTTTTTTTTTTTTTTTTTTTTTTTTTTTTAATATTTATAATTATTGAAGAAGTTTGATAAATTAGTAGTCAATTTTAAATTTTATTAACCAATTAAATATTAATTTTAAGCTTCAGGGACTCGATTATAAATCAAATTCTCTCGGGTGATGGAATAAGGCGGCCAGAAGCAACGAGCATTGGCGGTTGAAGCTTGGCTAAAGCGAAGCTCTTCGCTCGAAGGAAAGGGTCTTTGCCACTTGAGTCATATACGAAAAAGAAAAGAGGGCGGCCCCTCTTCTTCTCGTCTATTTTATTATAGTAAATTCAAATTCGAGACTAAAAATATATTTTATCAAAATTTTGATTTTTGTTGACGTGAAAAATATAATAGTTGGAATAAATTATATGGATCTAATTGATATAATTAATTTTGTTTAAATTATATGTATATTAAATTTGTGAAATTAAATAATTAATTAAATATAAGAGAATAAACTAAAATTATTTCCATTTACTATTTTGGTAGATTAGTTAATTAATTAATAAAGAAAAAAGATATTTTACATTAACATTGGGAATTAAATAACTTAATCTAATAAAAAATTATGTAAGTATTGATTCTTAAAAATATTAATAATAAATAATTTAAGCAATAATAAAACTAATTACAATTTATTAATTTTTAACAATATGGGTTAATCAATAGTTAATTAAACTTAATTAATTAATTAGATTATTTTACCAGTATCTATTACATAAATTAATTTTAAAATTCTGATAATAATATTTTCGACTCTAATTTGGATGAACACAAATAAACAAAGATACTACAATTAAAATTTGGTTGTAAATTAGGTCAAATTACAAGTTCTGAAGTTCTTCCGGAAACAATTTGAAGTTCCAAAATTCAAATGAAAATGTTTAAAAATCCATGGAAAAGATGATGTAGTTTATATAATTCATTGCATCCTAATTCCCAGGAGAAGCAGAACAACAGGTGGAAAGCTATGCAACGTGGAAGTATGGCGGATGCCGCAAACTTGATCGACTGGTACGTCAGCTGAATAATCTACCACAACTCACCTCTCGAATATCTTCTTGATTTCTCCCCAGAAAAGAAAATTTGAATTCTCGACGGTGCTAATGTTCGTCCGCTTGCTGTTCTATCAACCCTTCTGTGTATGCTCTATTCTCCCTCCATTTCATGCTGTTATTGTTCATTTTCGGATTCTTTTGGATTGAATTGGTTATTTTTCGTTGCGTTCCTCGTGAATCTGTGATGCGTTTATGTCTTTTTTATTTGTTCTTATTATCCAAAGATATAGGGGAGATTGTATCTTCTATTGTTTGTAGAATTGAAGAACAAGTGTAGAAGAAATGGATAACATTCACTTGGAGGTTGGATAAATTGCTAGCGCTGTTGAAATAGGTTCTTAGTGCTGTAAACACTAAATTCAGTTAACATCTTTGAAGAATTTGTGTTAGATTAGCATCTTGCTGAAGCTAAATTCCTTGTCTTTGGCTGGTGCCTCTTCTTGTTCTTACTAATGTTGTCAACTGTATAGGAGAAATTTTACCCCACACTGCTGAAGTTTTCTTGTGCTTTGTTTTTTGATTGATTTTTTTTCCATTTTTTTAACTTGTAGTCTTCCTCAACCACAAGAAAGTTACTTGGAAACATCATGGGAGGCAAGCGAGCTTCTATTCCCTTACAAATTTTTAATATCTAATAGTATCCAATAAATGACTTGATCATTTATTTTGTCCTAAACAATAATAGATATCGTTCAACCTAGAGGACAAAGTTGCCAATTTCTTAGAAAGGGAAGATGGTTGGCATCTCTTTATTACTTCTCGAGGAATTTCCAAACAACACGTAAATTTTCAGTTAGTTCCTCATCAATCAGTGTAGAAAAACCTCACCAAAACTTGCTGAGGGACAAGAAGCTCGTTCCTGATTCTGATCCTCCTAGCATGAAAGATGTTGATCTCTTATATAATTTTCTTGATCAAAGGTCAGTTTACATAACTTTATTGGTTTCTTAATATTTTTGAATCAACAACTATTCTTTTGTGACATCATTGACATCACATTTTCCTTTGATTTGTGCTATTATGCATCCTGCAGTTCCAACCTTGTGGTATTGACAGGAGCTGGAATTAGTACAGAATGTGGAATTCCTGATTATAGAAGGTTCTATCTTCCCTTCCTTTCTCATACCTATATTCCACCTTTATCTGTTCCTCATCTGTATTTGTTTTAACGTTGAGATGATTATGAACATCAAACGTTGAGAGTTAGATTTGTACAAAAATTCTTCTAAGTTCACTTTGATTTAGAGAGTTAGCCGAACTCTCAAGTCTCATGTTTGTTCATACACAGTTTTGGTGCATTGAACGAAAACTTTCATGCATGGTATATTACAGTCTAGAGATTGTATACTGTCCTACCCTATATGGTTTGAAGTTTTCCAATTGATCCAAGCAAACCTTTTTATGTTTTTAAATTTGATTCCTATCTGTTTTCCCTCCATTCAGAACATCAATACCCCACTTACTACTTATCCAATGAGAAAAGTCTCTAGTTTTGAGCACCCTTTATGAATCTAAATACTGGCGTGTAAGTTCAAGTGTACACGTCCTTGCGTGTTCTGTTGTAGTCAAACTAAAATTTTGTATACATAGATTATAAATATCCAATATTATATTTGCTGTCTTCAAAACTTCTGTTAATTTAGTTCTGCCTTCTTAAACTAACCTTACCTTGATTTGAAGACCTCAGTTTGTTTCTTTGTTGATGACACACTTTCTATATTTGGCTTAACACGTTTTGGTCATACTTTGATTATGTAACCTTTCATTTTCTTTAATACGCCCACACTTATCTTTTCTAATGCAAAAGTTTCTCTATGCGGCAGCCCGAATGGAGCTTATAGTTCTGGTTTCAAACCAATTACGCATCAGGTGATCTGAAGGCATGTGTTACCTTCTTTTTGCACTGTTATGATGATATTGCTTGGACATTTTGAAACAAAAGTATTGATAATAGCACAGCACGTACTTTATCTGCATTTTTAAATAAAAGAATCAATATTGCAATGGAAGCGACTGTTATTTTGGAAGTAACCATACTGAATAGTGGGTTTTTATAACCTTAGGTTATGTTTGATGCTGATAATATATATTTCTACTTAAAAAACTAAGCTGGTTTGCTATTCAATTCCTTACTTTGTTTATTAGTATTTTTATAAGAAGTGAGACTATTTTGAAGAAAGAAACCATAAAAATGTGGGAGATGGGGTTACATAAAAGAGGCTGTTCTGGTATGTTCAATGTCATAACTATAAAAAAGTTTGGAAAGAGAACACTGAATGGAAGCAAAGAGATAATGAATTGAATCTCATAACTCCTCTAGGCTAGAATAACTCTCTTTGGAGACTATCTGATTTCTCCCCAACTAAATCCTCCAAAACGTAGCCATAACATTTGCCCCTTAACTAGCTTGCCTTTTGAATTGGGGTCCATAAATTAGCTGAATGGTAGCCTCATCAATTCTATTCGAGCAACACCAAAGGATGCCAAAGATCTCAAATAATCTGGCCCAAGTGTCCTGGGCAAGGGCACAGTGAAGAAAGAGATGTGCATCCTATTTCAACCCTTCCTTACAAGTAACACACCAGCTGGGAGATAAGCAAAGGTGCAGATTATTGGTGTTCAACTTTCCTTGGATGCACACCCAAAGAAAAACTCTCACCTACTTAGGCACAGGCTTTCTTTACTTTTTAAACAACCTTCCTAATTTCAAATGTGAACAACACTTCTGAATTTCTCGAAGGAGATTCTCTCCTCTTTCAATTGGTTGATGACCCTTCCAAGTGATCCTAATGTCTCCTTCACTACAGCTATCTGACCACCCTTTCTCAAAAGATAAAACAGTTCTCTGGATGCATTTTGTTTGGCTTTTTTTTGGGCTTTATGATCGAGCAAAACGAAAGGATTTCCCATGATAATGAAAGATCTTTTGAAAATGTTTTTGAATATGTTAGCTTCTTAACATTATCTTGGTGTAAACATTTTTATCCTTTCAATTCTTATAGCTTTTATACACTTTTGTTCATTTGGGGATTTTAGTTCTAGTCCTTTGGCTTGTGACTCTCTCTTCTTTTGTATATTTCATAAATCAATGAAATTTATTTCTCATAAATTTTATTTTTTATTTTTTATTTTCTAGGTTTTACTACGTGGTTATGATTTTGAGAGTGTTTTTAAAATGAAAGTGTTCAAACAAAGAAATAAATTATGAACAGCCTAGTTTTTGAAACTTGAAAATGAAAACAAACTTTATTTGATGGGGCCTTAATCTTTATAGAATTTAATTGATATACTCAGTACTTAGCAAGAAAAACGTGGCGAGTGCACTGTACATTAGCTCGAAAAGGATCCTTACCAACCTTGAATCACTCCAGAAAGCTGAGATCCAAACTTTTAGGTATGATTATGAGCTTGCTTAAAAATCAGCCACCACCTTGAAAAAGAAGGAGAAAACTGAATAGGATTGCCTTCTGATGGCGTCTAGTAACTAGGTACTTCTAGGCTTAACTTTAATCGTGCATTAATGATAAAATAGTCAAAGAAAGGCATCCCCGAAAGCAATTCCACCTATCTGTCTGGCCTTTCTTCTTTACACCAGTCTCTTGAGATTCTAATCCATTTTCATATGAGCTTTCTCAAAGTCTTGCGCCATAACCAAATTCTTTTTGCTCCAATTATCAACCATGTTGTTATTAACTAGCATCTAATCAATTATTTATTCACTCACAAATACAAGGTGAAGAGTTATAGTAGATCGTAGATGTGAGTAATCAAGCAGCAAATATCACCCATATTTTTTTGTTTTGGGAGACAATTAGATGATGAGGATACATTTTAAAGAAAGTCATCTTTGATCATCCTCATTTATTTTAGTCTATAACTAATCATGAGAAGAGTTTTAGTTTGGAGTTATGATAAAGTTCACCATATTTCGACATTTGTTATGCTTTCATAAGTTTAAAGGTTGGATTTTCTTGGAAGCAGGAGTTTGTTCGTTCAATCCGGAGTCGTCGTCGATATTGGGCAAGGAGTTATGCAGGGTGGAGACGATTTACAGCTGCACAGCCCGGCCCTGCACATTTATCTCTAGCATCTCTTGAAAAAGTAGGCCGAATTAATTTACTGATCACACAAAACGTTGATAGGTAACGAGAAATCCACCACTCTTCACATGATGAGCTCTGGTTGTATGTTGAAGAAGTTTTGTGGGGCTGAAAATTTTACTCTTATTCCAGGTTGCACCATCGTGCTGGTAGTAATCCACTTGAATTACATGGAACTGTGTATTCAGTAATATGTTTAGATTGCGGCTTTTCCATTTGTAGGAATTCATTTCAGGATCAAGTGAAAGCTCTCAACCCAAAGGTTTTTGTTGTTGTTTTATTTGTTGTTCTTGGAGACAGCTGATTTACTTTTATTTCCAACTCGTAAGTATGGAATTAAATGTATGCGAACCGATTTAGATATTTCTGCAAATATATTTTGCTACAGTGGGCAGAAGCAATTGAAAGTTTGCATGATGGAGGCTCAGGGTCAGACAAAAGCTTTGGTATGAAGCAAAGGCCAGATGGGGATATTGAAATTGATGAAAAGTTTTGGGAGCAGGACTTTTGTCTTCCTACCTGCCAAGAGTGCAATGGAGTGCTCAAGCCTGATGTAAGATCATTTCTTTCATTAACTAAATGAGTACGTACTATAAGCATCTGAACTATTTATTGGGGGTTTTGAGGATCAAGGAAACTCAGTTGACAGTATTGGACAATATGTTGTGTTCTTGGGTAGTTACTGATTATGCGGCCAGAGATGTTGTGGAGTAATGATTACTAGGACTTAGTTATCTTCTAGAGATAGCTTGGTGGATGGAGCCTCTCATCCACCCCGGATTAGTGGGAGTGGGTCATGAATATAATGCAAGGAGGGAGACCATCATGAGTCAGCCTAGAGGTCATTAAAGATGGTAAATAATAGAGGGCTTAGAGGGAATGAGTTTGAGCGATGGTATCTACTTAACTAGGATTTATTATCCTGCGAATTTCCTTGGCAACCAAATGTAATAGGGTCAAGGGTTGGCTTGTGAGAATAGTTGAAGTGTACGCAAGCTATATAAGTAAATGGTTGAAGACATGTCATTTTGTTGGAAACTGGAACTTTAAATGAACTTCAAGGTATCAATCTCATCGTAGCAGTGTGATACTATGGCCAGTTCCCTCTTCTACACTTCCCGATGTAATGACTGGAGGAGAAAAAGAAAAAAGAAAAAATAAAAAAAAAAGAAAATTATCTTTCATACTAAATTCACTGGAATGTTGTGTCAACTGTTATGAATTTATGGCCTGGTTAAATGTTTTGGTGTGACAAATATTTCTCATCTGTCAATGTCCCTTGATTATTGTTTCATGGAGAAATATCTATTTTCTTTTCTTGCTTATTAAGATTTTCTTTACGACAATACAGTGTTTGCTTGCTTAATTAAGTGCATAGATTTGAACGGTGAAACTTTTATTTTTATAATTTCATATTATTCAATTACTTGCTAACGTTTTGTGTTCATTTTTTTCCCGATTAACTTGAAGGTCGTATTCTTTGGTGATAATGTTCCGAAGGATAGAGCTAATAAGGCGATGGAAGCTGCTAGAAATTGTGATGCTTTACTCATATTAGGGTCATCTGTAATGACCATGTCTGCTTTTCGGCTTGTGAGGTGCTCTCTTTGCTTCTCTATCTTGAAAATTTTGATTAACGTAGAGTTTTGTTTTTAGTTGTTTATTTTTCTACGAATTTTTTTAATCATAGTTTTCACTTTCTTAGAGAAAGATTTAAATTCTTACTCAAATTCCAAAATAAAAAACAACTTATTAATATATATAGCTTGCCTTTGTTTTTGAAAACATGGGTAAAAACTAATAACATAACAAAACAACTCACAGGTAAAAGTAATATTTATAAGCTTAATTTTCAAAAACCAAATGATTATCAAACAGGTACTACTCATTGAAAATTTTGAATAATAGGAGTACGATCCAAAATTGAGACTGAAACACTCATTATGGGAATAAAATTGTAACTTTTAAAACCATCGATCCAAGTTGAAACCTTGTCTAAAGCATAGGGACAAATTCATAATTTAACCATCAAATTAATATCTAAACTTGCACGTAAGCAAGAATGTTTAGAATACATTAAAAAACTAAATGGTCGTAATCCTTTGGATCTAGACAATTCTAGGGGAGATTTATCATGTTTCGTGTAAAGAGAGGCTCTAACTTGTGGTATCAAATCTCGCAGAGCGGCTCACGAGGCAGGTGCTGCTACAGGAATTGTAAATGTTGGTGTTACAAGAGCTGATGACTTTGTATCACTGAAAATAAATGCTAGGTTGGGTGAGGTACAATTCTCCCGCCCTCTCTTTTTCTCTGAAAAATGCATCTCTGTGTTTGTATTCCTTCATTGTTTGGCCATTTGTTACAGATCATGCCTAGAGTGCTTCAAATGGGATCCCTTAGCATTCCTGCCCTTCAATGATATCACTTCAGGTCTCTGTTTCAATTACAACTTCGTAGTTATCACTAGAGAATCTATGATCTATTTTGCCAAATTACATTTGGGAAATGGATATCTTGATTGTTGTATTATTAATAGCACAAGATTGCTGAGCTGGTCACAGATTTAGATCATTTCTTCTCAATTTACTTAAATAAATCTCAATATTTTCATTGTATTTAAAATTTACTAAATTTATCAATATATATATTCGATTTGGTTTAGGCTTTTCCATTTCTTGTTCTTCTCCTATTGCGTTTCACTTTATTTTTTTTCTTTGACATTTCTGTTAGGATCAACGCACACACTCGATTTAGATGAACACATAGAAATAGGAGAGAGAAAATGGAAATATGCCAAGAGCTAAAGGATTTGTATTGATGAGTAGGTAGAAGAGAGAATACAGAGAATAGGAAAGTAAGGATTTGTATTGATGAGTAGGTAGAAGAGAGAATACAGAGAATAGGAAAGTAAGGATTTGTATTGATGAGTAGGTAGAAGAGAATAGGAAAGTAAGGATTTGCATTGATGAGTAGGTAGAAGAGAGAATACAGAGAATAGGAAAGTAAGGATTTGCATTGATGAGTAGTAGAAGAGAGAATACAGAGAATAGGAAATAGGAAAGTACATTTTCAAAGGTCTTGAGGGATATATATATGGTTTAGCTCACCATATATAGCTTTATCAGATATAACCATCTATTATATATGACTATCTAATAGCTTTTTTTACTGTACATAGCTATTTGACAATTATCTTTACGATATTTACTTTAGTAATTTACCAAATATAGCTTTACGATACATATTTTCTATCGGATTCTTGTGTTTTATTTTGTTTGTTTTTAATCTTTCCATTTAGATACTAACACAATATATTTATTTGTTTTTTCAGCTCATTATTGTAGAAGGAGAAATAAGTACATTTCTTCAACTTTTTACCATTTAAATTTTAATCCTCTATGTTTCCATCTCATGCTACAGACGTTTAAAAGATGACAAAGCATCAAATGCATGTTGAAATTATTTTTTTTGCTAAAACATGAGTAGTTTAGTTAATCCCAAAACTATCACTTGGTTACCTCGTGAGTCCATTTAAAATTAAGTTTAGCTTAACTTGAGGAAACCATATTTGCTTATGAAATTTAGTTTTTGAGGATTTACGGATTTTAGATCAAGAAATTTCTTCTATTGTGATGCATTGGATCATTTGCCCATAGGACAGTAAGGAGTTGGAACATGCTGACATTAGTTGTCAATGAAATTAAGCAAGTTAAAATTCATGAACTAGAAATGAAACACAATAGTTTGTTCACCTTTGCTATGCTTTCTTAGGAGATTCTTCTTGTTATCCTATCATTATATCTACTGCTTGTTAGTCCACCAGCTGAGTACCAAAGGTGATTGAATCCATCAATGAAGTGGTAAAGTCCGAGGTATTGGAACTTAGAGTGATCTCCCCTTGAGTGTTCCTCGGTTTCTACTTAGATGCTGTCTTTGTTGTTGTTCCTATATTGTTTTTGTTATTACTTTCATTCTTGTAATCATGTCAATTTATTCTATGAAGTTCTTTGTTTTTATCCATTTCATTATGAGCTAAATTCTATTTCTCCTCTTTATCACCATTTTTTCTTGAGCTTATTCTTTTTCTTCTTTTACAAAATTTAGACTCTTAAATGTTATTAAAGCAGCTTCTTCCCTTTCCGATGAATGAGCTACTTCATTCCCTGAGCTACTGAATGAAAGACTCCTTCTCCTCCGGATCCTATTTATTCAGGAATAGTAAACTCATTCACCTTCTTTCACTCATTCGACAGATTTCTCGGGGTAAAGCACAACACTATTTGAAGAACCTGAACCTGAACCTCTTTCTTTCACTCCTCTCCTTTACTTACTATCGAGCTGTTTCGCTCCTTAACCTCTCTCTCTCCACCAAGACCGTAACCGTAACCCCCTTTCCTTTTTGAATTGACTGAGAACTCCCTTACCTTCTCTCACGCACGATGAAGGATCCTTCTGTCCTCTCTCTCCCTCTGGTTTTTTCGTTTGCTTGGCTCATGAGCTTGTTTAACTTGACTACTTAAATTAGCATGCAATATTGATATAGGATACAAAGTAAGACATAGGACTTCAATGTTGAGTTTAAGGCATAGGACTTCAATGTTGAGTTTAAGGCATAAGACACGCATATAGGATCTAAGAGTTGTATGCAAATTGCTTATAGAAACATAGGAGCAATTACTTGGTACTCATAAGGGTGCATGCAATTATCGCGGAATAAGAGATGAATATGATTCCTAACACAGGGTAAAATGCGGTGACTATATGGGTGTAATTTGTTAGTATCGTTACTTTGGGTTGGAACTTAATTGAGTCACATTTTTTTCATTAAGTATCATCGACATTCTTCAATATTCTATTGATTACCTTTGGTTGTCTTGAGCACTTTTTGTAACTCTGAACTTTTTTAATAGACATTGCAATCGACATTTAAAATATTTTGTACGGGGAATTTTAATGCTCTAATCGTTGCTATATCCTAGCTAGTTGACATATGTGATAGCTAGTTCGCTATCGACTAGAAAATTAGTTCATTAGTTTTTATCACGGATTTTGTTCTAAAATCGAGATAGGTAATTTGAAGTTCTAACTTATTTATTATCAATTTGTTATCACGGTACTTGTTATATGCAATTTGTATTTTTCTAATTTTTGTTCTCACGAGTATCTTTAGTGTAAGTAAAATATTTTTACAGTAGTTTTTATTTTTATTTTTGTTATGCATAATTTCTCTAAACTAATTGTTTTTATTATTTTTGAATTTGAGGATCTATTCTTGTTTCGGGTAACTAATCATTTATTTGTTTGGATGATTGTGACCTAATTTGTGTTTGTTTGTGAACTTTTAATATATATTTTTATGTACGGTATATAAATAAAAGTTCTTGTAAAATAATGTTTTTTAACAACCCAACAATCCAACTCAAAAATAGAGGGTTAGATTAGATTGTAAAACAATTTCAAGTTCGGTTGGGTTCCCAATCCAACCAACCCGAACTTTTGGGTTGGTTCAAAAAATTCTCTCAACCCAACCTAACCGGTCCCATGTACACCCCTGATCAAAGTATCAAAGTATCCTTGTCTATTTTGTTGATGAGCCAATTGTTAGTTCAATCCACCTAGGAATCTAGTTATTGTTTTCTCTTCGTTTTTATCAATGTATGCTCTATTCATAAGAGTCTCCATTTATTTGTAATAATCTTTTACACTTTTGGATCCGTGTGGGAAAGTATAGAGTTTTTGCTTGATTACTAGAAATGTACTTTTTTCTCATTAATATCTTCCATTCCTTAAACGATACAATGGTTTTTCATAATTTTTCATCCACTCTGTTTCAAAGATATCCACCATATAATTGCATAATCACAAAACTTGGCCACGACAAGCTTAACTTTCTTTTTTTCACGAAAATTGTTGCAATTAAAAACATGTTCAATTTTACTCTCATATTGCAAATACTCCTTCGGACCAGACCTCCCAATTAAAATGGTGGCATTGTCATCTTCTTCATTTTCAACTCTTTCATTCAAGATAACTTCCCATTGCAGAGGATTACCTAAAAATATTTCATTTTGGTTCAGTCTACCAAAATAATAATGACTTGGTTCAAACAATTACTTGTCTAACTTGCTTTTCTCCAGTTACTGTGTCTAACTAAGCCACTCGGGCCATAATGTAAGGTTAGGTTGTGCTTAGTTTGTTGTTTACGTTTTTCAAAATCTATCATTTAACCATGTGCTACAAGACTCTTGTACAATTAACGACGACATCGCAAGTAAAAACCATGACACATATATAAGATAATTATATTTAATTTCTTAGACCTAAGGTTAGTATAGGCCTTTGTCAATTTTAATATTTACTTTCTTTTATTTAATATTTCGTTTATGTTGCTTTAAAGGCATTTTTGAAACATGTACGTCCATAACATTGTTTTATGAAAATGTTTTAAATGTTTATTTCTGCATAAAAGATTACATTAACAAGATGGTAGAGACTTTGGGTTAGCAGAAATCTAGGGTCTCTTACGTTAATTCTCCTCAACTTGCTCCACAAGTTATTATTTCTTAAATTTGATCTACAAGGCAAATCGCTCCACAAATTAAATCTTCTAAAAATTAAGTATAAAGCAAGTCTATTGACTCATAACCTTTACATGACAATAATGATAAATTCTTTTAAAGTGGGGAAGAACATGATCTGCAACAGAAGAAGAGCGTGCACACAATGTGATGCTTGTTCCATTAGCTTTGATGCTCAAGTTATCTAGGAGAATTTTGAGTGTAATACGTTCTCCAAGTTGGGAACCCTTCAAAGTTTCTTACTTTTCTCCACGTAAATTAGGTTAAAGATTAATCATACTATGGTACTACGACCTCAGGGTTGCATGGCGCCATGCACCCCTCTTGTGAGACCAATCAAAGGGTTGGTCTTAGTGTCCCAATGAGTTCAACCACAGAGTCGACCTCAACCTCATACGCACCATGTTTGAATTTCAGCCCATAGTCTAATCTTTTTGGATTAGTTCAAGAAGTTGTCTGGAACGTATAATAAGTGAAAATACTAGTGAGGCTAAAATTAGGAGGTTGGTATAGCCGGGTCCTGTGGTATAGAAAAATGAAGTTCATAAACTCAAACTTAGGTTTGATGGGTGGATTGATAATAGGTAAAAATCCATGTATAATACGAGTGCAAGTAAATCGCTAGAAAATAGAATTTATGATTTTTGGATACGACTTATTTGAAATTTGGTAAGTGAGCGTTCTTCGTTCAATAATGTATAAATAAAGCTTTGCTGATTAATATAATGTTAAAAACATTGATCGATTCATCAATAAAATTTATAGTCGGAACGATTGAAATGAATCTTATATATATATTTTGAATTCATCATAATTAATGTCGAAATTTTGTGACCACATTTTGTGAACAAAATATCGTTTATTACACGGTCCAAATTCAAATCAAATTCAAATCATAGTAACCTAATTTTGGGGGTAAAAGAAGTATCATATTTTGAAGAATGAGAGAGTGATTAAACATGAGATAAGTGTAATTAATGTGTTAGGGACACATTAAATTCATCCCTTCATGAAAATATAAGGACATAATGGTGGAGCACATGGTGGGGTCTTTCTCAAATTAGATGGATATGGATATGCA